AATTACTGGGAATACTTGAAGTTCCTCAACCTGTACTCCCTAGAATGCAGACAGGAGAGATACATGATTATATACACTTGGAAAATCCTAGAGGGATTAGTACGAACTTGCACACGAAAATCACACCCTACAAAAGCAAAAGACTTGGCAGATGATTGCAACATCCTCCCAATGAAAGCAAGGGTGCCACTCGGCACGTTAAGAGACAACAAAATAAGTGTCCTGGGCCAAGACTGTTCAGTTGCCTCCAGCATACATAGGTGGGATTACCAATACACCCCTGGCTGTCTTCAAGAAGGCACTGGACAGGTACCTTAAGTCAGTACCTGACCAGCTGGGCTGTGGTTCGTATGTCGGGTGGCTTGTGACCAACAGTAACATCCTGGTTGATCAGACCCTTAACCACCATGAGGCCTGGTCACAGACCAGGTTGCAGGACCATTGTCCCCCAAAACCCTCTCCAGGTAACACATGGGGGTCACTGTATGAGACATACGGCTTTAGTGCTTTTCCATGTATTTATATTAATGTAAACCGAGTTGATTATAATAGTCATCTCAAGGGGATCTTGATCCATGGCATGAATCTGACCACCTTCCTTGGATCAAAACTGATTGCCACCCATTCCCTAGGTGCTGGGTGATCCCCTACAGGTTTATCGCTCCTCCCCTTGAATGTAGCTGATGATTTTATTTGGATTGTTAAGCCAGAGAGTTGGTAAACCAAGCTAACCCAACGTTTTAAATAATACCATCAGAACCTTAATGCAGATCTTTGTCCCAGCATTTCAATGAAATCTTTGTTACAACCATCCACAGGATAGGTATAGGGTGAATAAATAAAGGGGATGTAAATAGTGTGCTGAAAATATCTAGCCTAGACAGGACTCGCAGCAATGGTTTTAAGTTAGAAAAATTCAGATTCAGGAGGATATAGGAAGTACTGGTTTGGTAATAGAGTTGTGGATGAGTGGAACAAACTCCAAGTACCGTTATAGAGGCCAGAACGTTGTGTAGCTTTAAAAATAGGTTGGATAAATACATGAGTAGATGTGGGTGGGTGTGAGTTAGACCTGATAGCTTGTGCTACCAGGTCGGTTGCCGTGTTCCTCCCTTAAGTCAATGTGACCTGACCTGACTAGGTTGGGTGCATTGGCTTAAGCCGGTAGGAGACTTGGACCTGCCTCGCATGGGCCAGTAGGCCTTCTGCAGTGTTCCTTCGTTCTTATGTTCTTATGTTCTTATAATAGAGTATATAAATTAAATCTTAGTTGTTTGGTCAGTTTATCAAATTTCTTTTGAGAAAAGTGAATACGAAAGAGTTTACAGTTAGCAGAGATCAAATAATTCTTTATATGTCTTAAAATGTTCATTTTCTTCTGCATTTTTATTTATTTTTTGGATGTCTGGAACTGACAAATTTTTGTATTTATAAATATGTAGAGTACAGTGGAACCTGTTCGAGTGCCTTTACCGAATGAATTTATTCCATCAGGAATAATGTAAATTAGATTAGTCCATTTCAGACCCTCAAAAATACACTTATAAAAGCACTTACAAAAATACATTTGCATAATTGGTCGTGTTGGGAGCAGTTCGATTTTTGAGGTTCCACTGTATCATGTTAAAGTTTAATTTGACATTTTTACTTTTGTAATTCCCAATATTACTGAGATTTGTGATCTCTTGTATTCACATTACCTTTATGGGTTTTACCATAGTGCTTTAGTTAATATTATTATTTATTCCTAAATTTAGAAGTGCTGTATGACCTTTCAGGTTGGAAATAAATTATGTGTTAAAATAATAATAATAATAATAATAATATAAGGTTAGAATAAAAGCATGAGGAAGAGTCATGTGGAACCCTTAAGCTAATTTTTTATCAAATTTAATGCTCTATCTTTCTTGTAATAAAAAAATGGAGTAGATGATTTTAATGCAGCTTTTTTTTATTAACGCATTGGCTGTTTCTCATCAAGGAAGGGTGACCCAAAAAAGCAGGAACACTTTCATCATCACTCACTCTTGTCACTGTCTAGCCAGAGATGAACCTGTTCTACAGTTCAGAAACTGCAAATATCAACACCCCTCCTTCAGAGCACAGGCACTGTACTTCTCACCTCCAGGACTCAAGTCCTGCTAACCAGTTGCCTGAATCCCTTCATAAATGTTACATTGTCCACATTGCAACAGCACGTCAAGTCATAAAGCCATTTGCCTCAACTCTCTCCTATCTAACATGCTCATGCATGCTTGCTGGAAGTCTAAGCCCTCTGCACACAAAACTTCCTTTACCTCCTCCCTATAACCTTTCTAGAACAATCCTTACCCCTTTCTTCCTTCCACTACAGATTTATACTCCTTCCAAGTTTCTATTTCATTCCATCTTTTCTAAATGTCCAAAACCACCTCAACAACCCCTCCTCATCCCTCTGGTTAATATTTTTAGAAACCCAAACACCTCCTAATCTCCAAGCTACAGATTCTCTGCATAATTTTTCACACTACACTTTGCCTCCAGCCTTCTCCTTGTTTCAGCATTCACAACCCATTCTTCACACCCATATAAGAGTGTTGGTACCACTTACTCTTATACATAACCCTTTTTGCTTCCCTGGATAGATTCTTTGCCCCCACAGAATCCTCAGTTCACCACATACCTTTTTTGCCCTCATCAAGCATGCGATTCACCTCGTCTTTCATGGCCATCTCTGACAAGCCCACTCTTAAATTTGAGTACATTCACTTTCTTCATACTCTATCCCTCAATTGATATCCATTGTTTCATTTCCTAGATTTTTTTATAAGCTTCATCACCTTGCTCTTTTTCCCATGTTCACTTTTAATTTCCTTCTTTTGAATACCCTTCTCTTCAGAATCTCCCAGAAGCACAGTGTCATCAGTAAAAAGCAACGATGACAACTCCCACTGTGTGTTAGATTATTTATCTCTTAATCCACATCTTTGCCAACACCTGAGCATTTACTTCTCTTACAACCCCACTTATAAATATATAAACAACTATGGCGATATCACAGTCCTTGTCTAAGGCCTACTTTTACTGGGAAATAATTTTCCCCCTCTCCTACTTACTCTAACCTGTGCCTCACTATCCTTGTAAAAACTCTTAACTACTTTCAGTTCCCTACTGCCTATTCCATACATTTGCCACATCTGCCACATTGCTCTCCTATCTACCCTGTCATATGCCTTTTCCAAATCCATAAATGCAACTAAAACCTCTTTACACTTATCTAAATACTGTTCACCTATATGTTTCACTGTATACACTTGGTCCACACACCCTTCCTAAAGCCTCCTTGTTCATCTGCTGTCCTACTGTCCCTCTTACTCTTAATTCTTTCAGTAGTAACTCTTCCATACACCTTACCAGGTATATTCAACAGGCTTATTTCCCTATAATATTTACACTCTTTTGTCCCCCTCTGCCTTTATACAAAGGAACTATTCATGCTCTGTGTTGCTTTATATTCACTTATTTTTTCCACAATCAATGATGCAGTTTTACATCCCCCCCAAGGGAACTTCCTTCATGCCAGTGAGGGGCTCTTGATCTGAGGAACTGGACCTTGGATTAAAAACCTAAATGCCTTCCATTCACCTGGGTACTGTATGACCTCTATGGGTTATGTGCTCCCCCTAAATATAATAATATGTAGCTTTTCAACACAGTTTTACATTATAGTATACAGTATTAGAAGACAGAGGATGAAGCTTCCACCATATCTTGCACTGAATGACCCACATGGGTTTAGCGCTAAAACATGAATTACTTTTTATACAGCTATATTGTTTGTCTATACTCTAGTTCTAAAGCATCTTGTAAATTACTAGTACACAAATTTTACTAGAAATGACTAAGAATTTACAACTTTATCTGTTATATTGAAAAGTAGGGTCAGTGTATCATGTTAAAAAGGGCATTTTTATTTCCCAGCACTGTCTGCAGTTATGAGGGATCATATTTGTGAAGTGATGAGCAGTGGCAGTGAGTGGAACTGAGTCACAAGATGAGAAGCCACATTCATGGTGTGAGGAGCGGCAGTCAATGGTGGCCTTGCTCACAACTCTCTCTCCTTGGCTGTCCTCTCTTACTGTGGGTGTCACAGTCTGTGGCACAGGAAAACATCAAAAAATTGCTATCATAATAACAGCAGTGCCACCACTGTAAGCTTGGGCCAGAGAGATAATGCAAGTGTTAAAAATAGTGATTTTAAACCTGTAATATATGTTGATAACCCCACAACACTTGAGGGAATTGCAGGAGCAGAGCTTTCTCCCCCATTCTTTAAGGAAATGGTCATGTTTGGTATTTGTCATATAGAGTTTTTGGTTACAACTTTTTTTCTGTTTTGCCATCTATGTCAATTGTTTTAAACAGATATTTGATTTACAAGAAAATCTTTACTTGTTATCTTCTAATACACAAATAACTTGCACAGGGGAACGCAAACTTATGATGACGTTTTGGTTTGACTCGGTCAAAGACCGAAATATTGTCATAAGTTTCAGTCTCTTATGTTTTGAGTTATTTATGTATTGTTCCAGTAATGGTATTGAATTTTTTATTCTTTTCCTCTAATGTCTGCTGCTTCTCTGCATGCACTGTTGAAACATCCACATAGGTTTAAGGTTCTCCTTAATATAATAAAAAACACCAAATTTATGGTAAAATCCCTTTAACAAGCTCTTTTCAAATGATGCTGGTGAGGGGCTCTCCGTTCAAGGAATTAAAGCTATCCTTCCCTTCCTTGGATCAGTCCAGTGATCCTCCCATTCCTCATGCATTGTATTAGTCTCTTTTAGATTTAGTACTACCCATGAATATAAAATTATTAATAATGCAGGACAAGTCTTCAATAGCTAATGCCTTTTTTGTCTGTGAGAATTAGGAGTACCATAACAATGAATTTTAGATGTTATAAAAGGATGAGAGTGGACATTTTTAGCAAATGTTCATTGTATATATTTTCACAGATTATCACCAGGAAGAAGCACTGATGGAAAGGATGGTAATGTTCTTGGTGGTCAATTGCTGGAGCAGGCAGCCACTCTTGGATCACAGCTCAGGATATAGCTAATAATGAGTTGGGAGTTACACATATGCAGGTGAGAAATGAGATTGTACATATTTGTTCTTGTTCTTGTCCAAAACCAGAGCTTTGGTGAGATGGGAAAGGGAAAGAAGGATGGGTAAGGATAGAAATTTTGGAAAAGGGTGGGAGGGGAAGAGAGGTAGGATATAAAAGGTAAGTGGCCCAACCATTTTGGTGTAATTTAAAAAGTGTACGTGAAATGAATAAGATATTCTTTAAGGGTATAAGACTAACCCATCAGAGTCACATAGATATAACAGTATATAAGTACATGACTCTGAATTGGTATTAATTATACAAGTTGCAATTGCTTTTTTTTTTTTTTTTTGCGATTGCACAAAGGTATTTATGCGACAATGAAAGGGAATTTAAATTTTTTGGCCAGTTATAGAATTACGTGACAATGGCTTCTTACAGGTGGTGTCCAGCCATAGTAAATAGCATAATTTTTACATTAGATTGTTATATAAGATTTCTCCCCAATTGGGGGCGATGATTTCCAGTATACATAGAAGGGTTCTGGTGTTACCCAATCTTCTTCATCAGGGAGGTTGCTCAATATCATGGGTCGATAGTAATCATCTTTATGTATAAAACACGGACCCTCTGTGGGGAGGGCATTCTTTGAGTCCTGTGAGGAGGAGTATTGATGATATAATCTGTGGTATTTACCACTTGTATAAGGATTTCTCTATTCTGGGTGTATAGTTTTGCATTGTATAGAGTTGTTTCTTTTTTAAGGTGTCAAGGCGTACATTTATGGCAGTAATATCTTGTTGTATGGTAAATCTGCCATTTTAACTCTGTCCTCCTCCTGGTATCGGTAATGAAGCGAAGGCTCTATTCTGGACCCTTGTAACCGTAGCATATTGGTCTTTGTTGTTAATGACATTGGGACACAAGGGTATTCGAATATAGGTCGTATTAACATTTTATACAGAAAGTTTTTTGACATGTTGAGGGGCTTGATTGAATCGAAGAGATGCTAAGACCGGCTTTGGCTATGTTGATCTTTTTAGTTACATGAGATGTGAGTGGAGCAGCCTGTCTATTTCATATCCCCAAAATCTTGTTAGGGTTTCTAATGGCTACAGGTGTACCTCTGATGGAGATACCCCCTTTATCTTCAATTGTTGATGCAAAACATCCTACGTGCTAACAAGGACCTTGTCAGGATTAGTCATAATTCTCCATTTCTTTTCCCAGTTAGATGTTCGCGAAGTTCAATATTAATTTTTTCTATGACTCTCTCATACTTGTATTTTCCTGTTACCGGAGTTGATGAGCAACATGAATAACATCATCTGCAAACTGTGTCACAATTGTATCATTAAACTCTGGGTTTAGGAAGGTCATTCACATAAATGTTGAACAGAAGTGGACTGAGGGCAAGAACCTTGTGGGACACCAGCTGTCGGTATAAAAGGCTCTGTCGACTGCCATGAAAGGTGGGAATGATTTTTCTTTGAGTTAAGAAATTATATATTACTCTGAGAAAAGTCCAGTTTGGCCTGGGAGGTCAATGAGTTTGTATATAAGGCCATCATGCCATAAGCTATCAAAAGCTTTATGAACATCTCTGGTGGCAGTTAAAAGGGAAAATTGCCCTGATGTTTTTTAACTTGCTACAGTATCGAAAATAACATTTATTGCATGATTGGGACCTCTATGGGTTCTAAAGCCAAATTGTTTTTCAGTAAAAAAGTGATTAAACTCCATATAGTAGTTCAATCTGTTTGGAAATGACCTTCTCAAGAACTTTTCCCTGTGACTTCAAGTAAAGATATAGGTCTATAGTTCCCAGGGTTTGGGGGATGTCTTTATTTGGGGTTACCAAGAAAGATCATCCTAGCAGTCTTAAAAAACCACTGGAAAATGTCCGAGGCCAGGATGCATTAAAGATATTACCAAAGACTGTTTACAATTTCTGGGTAGGAACTTTATTTGTTTCATTGTTATTCCAGAGAGGCCAGGGGGTCTATTTCGCATTCTTCCAATAACCTGACTCATCTCTAGTAATGTAATAGATCTAGTAAGCGGGTGGGTATCTTCAAAAGTTGAAGTATCGATGGAAGGTAGTGGTTGTAGATCATCCAAGTTCTCATCTCTCCATTCATTTACCAACTGATAATGATTATTATTAAATTGATGACGTTATTGTGGGAGAGAATTTTCTCCCATAAAATCACCCATCAAATTAGCCTGGTCCTGTGGATCGTCAAGTTTGTACTACTATGTTTCCTTCCTTGGGTCACTCTGCATTGGTGGAGATGGCCATTGAGGTAAAAACAGTAAAATTAATGGAGACACAACACCATGATGATAGCTCTGCTCCTGTTCCTACAAATAGAGAATTACAGCCTGTAGTTGTGCTTTTACTCCTAAATAAACAGTTTAATATGAATATAATTTTTTTTTGTTAATAAGTTCCTTTATTACCGAACTGTTCATTCTTCTACTTCCAGATGACTGTATAAAGTATTTATAGAGTTTACTTGTTAGAGAATATAATCTGTTATTAGGCATATAATTTGTCATTAATTATTTATATGGCTTTAAGTTATTATTGTTGTTTCAGTTATTGAGATATTTTGTTTAGTGTATATAGATGACAAATTAAGAAAATACCAATAGAGTATACACATTTAAATACAGTATCTGAACTCCCAGAATGGTTCATCAGTATTTTCTCTATTGTCTCCTTTCTAAATTTCTGAGGTAATCTGTGCATATTTTGTAGCTTGCTTATAAAATGGATAAGTTTCACTAGATTACCGAGTAAGAAACCCCAAGCATATCCTACTTGCAGGCTACCTTCGATGAGCTGCCATACTCGGATCTAGAGAGGAGAGAAGAAGACACTGTTAAAGAGGTGAGAAAAGCCATTAATTATGTTGAGGTGTTTCTTGTGTTACTTTTCTAATGTGTCAGACTTTGTAGTCAGAGACTGTTCAACTGCCTCCCAACATACATAAGGGGGATTACCAACAGACCCCTGGCAGTCTTCAAGCTGGCACTGGACAAGCACCTAAAGTCGGTACCTGACCAGCCAGGCTGTGGCTCGTACGTTGGATTGCGCGCCGCCAGCAGTAACAGCCTGGTTGATCAGGCTCTGATCCACCAGGAGGCCTGGTCACAGACCGGGCCGCGGGGGCGTTGACCCCCGGAACTCTCTCCAGGTAAACTCCAGGTAACTCCAGAGAAAACTCTACATTTTCTTTTATTCATATTTTCCTTATATATTTTCAGTGCAGTGAAACCTTGCTCAAACAGACTAATATGGTGAGTAGGTCACTGGTAAAGGTGATTGTGGTGGATAGCGATGTGATTGTTTGCTGTGATTGTAAAAAATTTGGAGAATTCTGTAACCATCATACTTGTCCATTGTTTCCCAGCATCAGTTGATTCATCAGATTTTGTCCTGTATTTCCAAAGTCTGTTAAATCTAGGACTGTTAACTCAGTGGTTTACTGAATGTACATTTATACTTTTCAAAAATCACATTTAAGTACTTGGCAACCTAACAACACTAAGCATTTATTAAAGAATTCGTCCCAACACTCTAATTTTTGTTTGAATTGTAACATTTAGCATCTGCATCTTTTTCTGAAATACTACCAGAAAGATAACTTCATTATTGTCCAAATTTCTAGATTAAAAACTGGACAGATAGTTATTCACAAATCACAGAACGGGTGGTGCTCAAACCCAAAAATGAAAAACAAAGGTTCTCTTTTGACTTTAGTAAGTTACGGGGGAAGGGGTTACTAGCCCCTTGCTCCAGGCACTTTATCGCCTCTTTAACACAAGGGCTTTTGGAGGATGAATTCTGTTCTGTTTCCCATGAGTAGAATGGGAAGTGAAAAAGAACAAAAGTGAGGAAAAAAAAAAAACCCAGAGGGATGTGTAAATTGCTTGTACATGAAAGTGATTTGGACCTAAGTGCAAGTTGAGGTACAAGCGTATCTGAAATCTTGCTTAGTTTTTCTTCTTTCAAAAAACTGGCCAATCCCCAGGGGCCCGGGTGGCTCAAAAAAAAAGAAAAAACAAAGTTTTCTTTTTAAAATTTAGTAATTTTACAGGGAAGGGGTTACTAGCCCTTGCTTCGGCATTTTAGTTCCCTTTACAACACGCTGGCTTGGGGGAAAGGATGAATTTGTTCCATTTCCCCCGGGAGATAATAAGAAGTAAACAAAAAAAGAACTAGAAAAAATAGGAGAAAACCGGGGGATTGTATATATATATATGCTTGTACATAAGTGTAGGTACCAAAGTGCCAAGTAGAAGTAGAAAGATTTTCCTGAAATCTTGCATAGTTCTTTTCTTTTCAACACACACCCCCGCATCCCCACCAAGGCAGGGGGTCCAAAAGGAAAAACGAAGTTTCTCCTTTTAATTTAGAAATAATACGGAAAGGGGTTTTATACCCCCCTTCCCCCGGCTTTTAGTCGCCCTTCCCAACAAACATGGTTTTGGGAGAAGAATTCTATTCCACTTCCCCATGGAGAAAGGGAAATAAACAAGAATAAAAACTAAAGAAAATAGAAAAAAAAACCCCAGAGGGGTGTTATATATGTATGCTTGCACTGTAGGTAGTGTCCTAATTTTGGAGTAAAAGTAGCAAGCTTTCCCAAAACCTTTGCAGTTTAAGAAAAAAAATGGACCCCACAATCCTACCCATCATGTAAAAAAATTACAGGTTTCCTTTTCACTCGTTGGGGGGACGGTAAAACCCCCCTGGGGGGTTTCTGTCTATAAAACCTACTACAAAAAATAAAAATATTTTTTTTTCAACACACCCCCCTTTATCCCACCGAGGGGGGTGGCCCAAAAGGAAAACGAAAGTTTTCCTTTTACATTTAGTAATATATACGGAGAAGGGGTTACTGCCCCTTGCCCCCCGGCATTTTAGCCCCCTCTTACAACCGCAGGGCTTTGGGGGAAAAAGTTCTTCCACTTCCCAGGGGAGGATTATATATTTTTTTATTTTTATATTAATTTTTATTTTTTATAATTTTTAATTTTTTTTTTTTTTTTTTTTTTTTTTTTTTTTTCAACAAGTCGGCCATCCCCCACCAGGCAGGGTGACCCAAAAAAAAAAAGAAAATCCCCAAAAAAAAAAACTTTCATCATCATTCAACACTTTCACCCCACTCGCACATTATCACTGTTTTGCAGAGGTGCCAGAATACAAAAGTCAGAAAAAACCTAAAAAGTACAAACATATCCTAATATATATATTTTTCTTTCTTCTTTTCAAACTCCCCAGCCTATCCCACCGAGTGGGTGGCCAAAAAAAAAAAAAAAGTTTCCCCTTTTTTTTTAAATAAATACGGGGAAAGGGGTTACAAACCCCTTGCTCCCGGCATTTTGTCGCCTCTTACAACGCAGGCTTAAGAGGAAATTTGTTCATTCCCCCATGGAGAAAAGAGGAAATAAAAAGAAAAAGTTAGAAAAAAAAATGAAGAAAAACCCAGAGGGGTTTTAAAATTATGCTTGTACACGAATGTGTAGTTGGACCTAAGGTAAGTAGAAGTAGAAAAGGGACTTTCCTGAAACCTTGGGTTTTTTATGAACAGAAAAATGGACACCAGCAACCCTACCTTTATGTAAAACATTACAGGTTTCCTTTTCACTATTTGGGAGGACGTGAACCTCCTGGGGGGTTTTTCTGTTTTATCAACTAACCTAAAAAATTTATATTTTTATATATTTTTATAATAATTATTATATATTATTTTATATATAAAATTTATATTATATAATATATATATTTATAATAACACTGAATACCCCTTGCACATACATACATAATAAAATCCCCTTTACAATAATACACATAACGGTGGACCCCCCGCTTTACGACAGCCCAATGCGCCAATTTGTAAGTGTATTTATCTAAGTGTGTTTGTATGTGATTTTTGGGGGGTCAAAATGGACAAATCTAATTCACAATTTTCCCTTATGGGAAAAAAATTGGGTCAGTACTGGACTGAACTTTTATTTCTGGAATAAAAATAATATGAAAACCCGGGGGGCCAAAAATTTATTATAATATAATAATAAGTTATATTAATTTTTTTATATATATTTATATAAATAAATATATTAATATTTTATAATTTTTTATATATATATAAATTTTATATATATGATATATATTATATATATTATATTATATATATTTATTTTATATAAATTATTAAATATTTATAATATTTTTATATATTTATATTATATATATATATACTATTATATACATTTTAACCTGGAGTTCCCAGAATGTTCTGGGGGTCAGCGCCCCCGGGCTCGTCTGTGACCGGGCCTCATGTGGATAAAGGCCTATCAAACAGGCTTTTTGTTGGCCACTCGCAAACCGACTACAAAACCCCTGTTGGCCGCCCCACCGGGGAGGTACCCAAAAAAAAAAAAACCTTTCAAATGTCATTCACACTTTCCCATCATTCACAAAATCACTGCTCTGCAGGGGGGGCCCAGATAGAAAAGTTTTTTTTCACACCAAAAAAATATAATATTTTTTATTTATTCGTTGATACAAAAAATAGATGTTTTCAGTTATTTGAAGCTTTGGTTTGGAAATAGAACCGCATAGTGTTTTTTCAAAACTGCATTTTTTTTTGCTAAAAGTAATCTTGGCAAATTTTTTTTTTTTTTTGGTTTGGGGCATTGCCCAAAAATTTTATTTTAAATTTTTTTCTCAAAAGAACCGCCCAATCCACAAGGCAGGGTGGCCCAAAACAAAAAACGAAAGTTTCCTTTTTTAATTTAGTAATTTATACAAGAGAGGGGTTCCCTGCCCCTTGCCCTCGGCATTTTGTCCCTCTCAAAACACGCATGCCTTATGGAGGAAGAATTCTGTTCCACTTCCCCATGGAGATAAGAGGAAATAAACAAAACAAGGACTAGAAAGAAAATAGCACAAAACCCAGGGGGTGTGTGAAATACATATGCTTGTACATGTATGTGTAGTGTGACCTAAGTGTAAGTAGAAGTAGCAAGACATACTGAAATCTTGCATTTTATGAGAACAGAAAAAAGGACACCACAATCCTTTTTTCTTTCTTCTTTTCAACAAACGGCTGTATCCCACCAAGGCAGGGTGGCCCAAAAAGAAAAATGAAAGTTTCTTTTTTTAAATTTTTAGTAATTTGTACTGGAGAAGGGATTCAAAGCCTCTTGCTCCCGGCATTTTAGTCGCCTCTTACAAGATGCATGGCTTTTGGAGGAAGAATTCTGTTCTAATTTCCCAATGGAGATAAGAGGAAAATAAACAAGAACAAGAATAACAAGAAAATAGAAGAAAACCCAGGGGGGTGTGTATATATATGCTTGTACATGTATGGGGTAGTGTGATCTAAGTGTAAGTAGAAGTAGCAAGACGCACCAGAAATTTTGGGCTGTTTATGAGTCAGAAAAAAGGATACCAGTAATCCTACCATCATGCAAAACAATTACAGGTTTTTCGTTTTACACTCACTTGGCAGGATGATAGTACCTCCCTGGGCGGTTGCTGTTTACCAACCTTCTACCTAATGGTATCTTATATTGTAAAAACCCAAAAAGTGTGAGAAAAGACAAATAATTTTTTTTTTTTTTTTTTTTATTTACACTGGTCGATTCCCACCAAGGCAGGGTGGCCCGAAAAAAGAAAAACTTCACCATCATTCACCTCCATCACTGTCTTGCCAGAAGGGTGCTTTAAAACTACAGTTTAAACTGCAACATTAACACTCCTCCTTCAGAGTGCAGGCACTGTACTTTTCCATCTCCAGGACTCAAGTCCGGCCTACTGGTTTCCTGAACCCCTTCATAAATGTTACTTTGCTCACACTCCAACAGCACGTCAAGTATTAAAAACCATTTGACTCCATTCACTCCTATCAAACACCCTCACGCATGCCTGCTGGAAGTCCAAGCCCCTCGCACACAAAACCTCCTTTACCCCCTCCCTCCAACCTTTCCTAGGCCGACCCCTACCCCGCCTTCCTTCCACTACAGACTGATACACTCTTGAAGTCATTCTGTTTCGCTCCATTCTCTCTACATGTCCGAACCACCTCAACAACCCTTCCTCAGCCCTTTGGACAACAGTTTTGGTAATCTCGCACCTCCTCCTAACTTCCAAACTATGAATTCTCTGCATTATATTCACACCACACATTGCCCTCAGACATGACATCTCCACTGCCTCCAGCCTTCTCCTCGCTGCAACATTCATCACCCATGCTTCACACCCATATAATAGCGTTGGTAAAACTATACTCTCATATATTCCCCTCTTTGCCTCCAAGGACAAAGTTCTTTGTCTCCACAGACTCCTAAGTGCACCACTCACCCTTTTCCCCTCATCAATTCTATGATTCACCTCATCTTTCATAGACCCATCCGCTGACACGTCCACTCCCAAATATCTGAATACATTCACCTCCTCCATACTCTCTTCCTCCAATCTGATATCCAATCTTTCATCACCTAATCTTTTTGTTATCCTCATAACCTTACTCTTTCCTGTATTCACTTTTAATTTTCTTCTTTTGCACACCCTACCAAATTCATCCACCAATCTCTGCAACTTCTCTTCAGAATCTTCCAAGAGCACCGTGTCATCAGCAAAGAGCAACTGTGACAACTCCCACTTTATGTGTGATTCTTTATCTTTTAACTCCACGCCTCTTGCCAAGACCCTCGCATTTACTTCTCTTAGAACCCCATCTATAAATATATTAAACAACCACGGTGACATCACACATCCTTGTCTAAGGCCTACTTTTACTGGGAAATAATTTCCCTAATATATCCTAATATGCTAATATATTTATTGATGAGATATTTTGTTCAGGGGTGGCACAACATCTTGATAAATATCTCAGTATGATATATGTGTCGTTTTTCACATAAAAATATTGTCTTTTCAGATGATACAGTCACTGGAGCGGAAGTTTACCGTATTCTCTAGTCTAATAGAAGAAATGTCCAAGCTTGTGGCTAATTTTTATAGTGAGCACAGAGAAAGGGAACTGGAAGATGTAATGCATTATGCAGATGAACACAAGTATCACCCCTGTTGCCTCATCCCTGACAATTACCTTGAGCAAGTATCTTGTTTTTGTTGTGTATTTTTATTTCTTAGTGGAAAACAGAGTTTGAGAGTTTTATAACCCAGTCACTACAAGAGGCTTAATTATACCCAAGGTTACATATACACTATAATGTGCCAAAAGCATTATAAATGCTAACTGATTACCCTGAATCTCTTCATAAATGTTGCTTTGCACATTCTAACAGCACATCTGGCCATGATTGTTTTACATTATAATGACAGTACACCTTTAAAGTAATACATACTCTAGTCAATTCCCAACTCATAAGTATTCTCCCAAACAAGTGGTGTACATATTTGAAAGTGTCTAGATGTATACATATCTAGCCATAGTTAATATAAATAATGGACGAGCAGTAGTGAAAGGATTAAGTGGAAGCTAAGCTGGCAAGTAGAATTTAGCCTCAGTCATGAAAGCATGAAAATAGTTATTGAATGAATTCTTGTGAGGGTTGTAATTATTGCATCTTATGGATGTGGTCATCAGTATGGTAGAGAAGAATGTGGTCATCAGTATGGTGGAGAAGAATGTGGTCATCAGTATGGTGGAGAAGAATGTGGTCATCAGTATGGTGGAGAAGAATGTGGTCATCAGTATGGTGGAGAAGAATGTGGTCATCATATGGTGGAGAAGAATGTGGTCATCAGTATGGTGGAGAAGAATGTGGTCATCAGTATGGTGGAGAAGAATGTGGTCATCAGTATGGTAGAGAAGAATGTGGTCATCAGTATGGTGGAGAAGAATGTGGTCATCAGTATGGTAGAGAAGAATGTGGTCATCAGTATGGTGGAGAAGAATGTGGTCATCAGTATGGTGGAGAAAAATGTGGTCATCAGTATGGTAGAGAAGAATGTGGTCATCAGTATGGTGGAAAAGAATGTGGTCATCAGTATGAGGGAGAAGAATGTAGTCATCGGTATGGTAGAGAAGAATGTGGTCATCAGTTGGTGGAGAGGAATAAGAGTTGTAAATAGTATTGTATCTTGTAAACGGGGTTAAAAAATATGCCTTTATTAATACGACATTTCACCTACATGAGGCCTTATCAAGTCTACTAAAGCCTCGCATAAGTGAGACCTTGTACTTAGATTACATTTTTTTTGTATACCTGCCTTTTGATGGTGCTTATATAAGTGTACTCTATCATAGCAATTGTTGGAATGTAAACCAAGGCTACAATCAAATTTAGAGAGGGAATCAACCACTTTAAGATGTGTGTTACTTGACTCACATTGAATAACCATTATAAAGAAATTTTATGGAAATAAATATTTCTGATAATTCTACTTTTACATTATTATTTTTGAAGAATTTATTATTTTTCATTAGAAATCTTACATTCCATATGATTATCATAATGTTACTATATTATTTTGGCTTAGGTATCGAAGTCACTTTGGCACTCGTGTCAACGAGGACCTGTGTTGTGACTCTGGTTTTGGATCAGGTGATCATCCACTTCCTGAGGACTTTTATGCAGCTCCTGACAACTTAAGAGAGAGTACGTTACTTATGTGTTCTCTTCATCTCTCTAATTGTATATGTGATAATGCTGTGGAGAAGCAGTAATATGGAGTTTATGTAAAATTAGGCAATGAGTGATTTAGAAAGTATTTTCCTGCCTTGGGTCACTCTGCCTTGGTGGAAAAAAAGCTGATGTGCTAAGATGTGTACAAAAAATAGGGTACTTTTGTTATGTACAATGGAGGGTTGACAACAAAAGTGAACATGATTGTGATAAATGAGTGGTAAAAACCTGTATGAATAAGACAAGGGAAGGATATAATTAAAATTTATAGTATTAAAAAGACACTTTCAGCAAAGAAACTTCTTAACATAGTTTCACCAGTGGGTGAAACATCTTATTAACCCTTTCAGGGTCCGTCCCGTAGATCTACGGCTTTACGTTCAGGGTCCAAACCGTAGATCTACGCCATGAGCTCAGCTCACTCTGATAAACTGTGAGTGGTACATTTGGGCCTAGATATGAGAGAATACATCTATGTGGTATGTGTGCACCACATAAAACAGATCCTGCAGCACACTGTGTATAATGAGAGAAAAAAAATTAAATCATGATTTTTCGATTAAAACAGCAACTTTGCAGTGTTTTTTCGTATGTTTTTTATAGTTGTATTTGCGATTTCTTGGTCTCATTGATAGAAGGGAAGACATATTACAGAAATAAGAGATGATTTTGATTGGTTTTAGCATTGGAAATGGCTTGAAACTGAGCTCAAAGTAGCGAAATGTTAAATTTTTGCCGATATTCAAGAGTAAACAAACGACCTCACACGTCTAATACACGTCAGCTGTGGGTCTAATATACATTCACAAATATGGTGATGATATTTTTTACAATTATTACAGTATTGCATAACAGTAAATCTTCTATTTTTTGGTGTGAATAAAAATTCATTATGTGAATAAAAATCAAAATGGAATTTATTTGTAAAGCCTCAAAACATAACTAATGAACAAGGAAATGTTAGTTTAGTCCCCAGGAATGCCTACATTGTTCATTCTGGACCCTATTTTGAAATGGGAATATTTGAACTTTGTGTTAAATTGGCCAAATTAACAATTTCCGATCACTTTATTTTGTAGTTGAAAACAGTTGACTTGGCTATTTCTTGTGCTCAATCGATAGAATAGAAGTAATACTAGTGAAATAGCTAAGAATTTGGTTGATTGGAATAATGTAAATGGCCAAAAATTTGGGAGTCAAAGTCGGCAAAATCACCGATTCGTAAATATCGCTGACACATCAAAATTCGCGAGAGCATAATTTCGTCAATTTTCCACCAAATTTCGTACTTTTTGTTTTATTACCTTCACAAAAAGATTCTCTACGATTTCATAAGAAAAAATAACAAATTTTTTTTTTGAAAATTCTTGGACACTGGTGCGTGACTCCAGATTTGGGCCTTGGACCCTGAAAGGGTTAATAAAAGGTTTCTTTGTTGAGAGTCTTTTTACCACCACCTGTCGACTCATAGTCATTCACTTGCACAATGTCAGTAGAAATCTTCCCTCTCATTTTATGTGGATTTATGTTGTTGAATTAGACACATGTGCAATTCTTGGGTATCTTTACTGAGGAAACGTTTCGCCACACAGTGGCTTCATCAGTCCATACAAAGGAGAAACTTGAAGAACTGGAGGAGAAAGAGGTAATCAGTCCCTCAGCCTTGAGTCAATGTGGTCAGTCCATCAATCTTGAATAGAATACGGCATATGAGCGGAGAAGCAGCTTATAAACCGTAGACAGGTGAGGGGCAGCAGTCGTAGGTGGTGTCACATTTGTCCATTTGGGGAAGTAGGTCGTGCCAAGGGTTGGGCAAGTGAAGAATTCCCAAGTATTAAGATCCCAAGAAGTTGCAGTGTTTTAAAAGGATTGCAGATGAATGGTTCAGAGAACCGACATGTGGGTTCTCTGAACCATTCATCTGCAATCCTATGTGGTTTTTTAGTTGACAAATTTGCTATTATACAATATCCCATGTCCATTGGTCTTTTTGTTTGTCCAATTGCAGTTTGCAAACTGCAATGAAGGTTCCTATTATGCGGGAAGTAAATATTGATTGTCAGATTAATCTTGTACAGCTCTCCAGAACACATCTGTTGCATAAAGTCAAGTAAAGGACCTATACAAGGTGTACAGAAAAACCCAGTACTATCATTTGTCAAGACATTGACTTAGGCATGAAAAGGAAAGATTTCTCTGTCCCTTTTGTTCTTAAAAATTATGGAAAATTTGTGCTAGGCTTTATGTTTTAATAATATGAACTATTGTTACTTTCAGTGTTTATTATGAATTTACGAGATATCCCACCATTTAAGTGGCAGTATTTCAGTCATACAATGGTCTGCACACGGAGTTACCTGCACATGACCAGGTATGTTTGTCATCATATTTTTGTAGAACAAATTACAGCAGTTTGAATAAGACACAGTAGGCTGTTTAGGGGTTTTTTAAAACTGAAAAAAATGTTTCATCTGTCAGGGACTTTATTAATTATGAGGAGGATTAATAAAGTCCTCTGGTGGAGGAAATGCATTCTCAATAAAATGCCATTAACCACATATTGTGTCTTATTAAAAATACTTGTTGGTGTATAATACCATGCATATAGATTAAATAAAATTAACATTTATTTGCTTTTAAATATGACTCTAATATTTATACATTTTTTTTGTTGCAATTATTGCCATTTGTAAAATAATTGATTGTATTTATTAAATTTGCTTTTCATTTAGGAACAAGTATTGGTGCAGACTGTGGCCAGTCTTCCCGTCACCGTCATGTCTATGAAGCTACGGTGAGATCCAGTGGTTGGAACATTGTTCTTCTCTATGATCTGGGAGAATCTCTTACACCAAGGCTTCTCTTGACAGCTAAAGCTATTGGTAAGTTCTCCATGCTGCTTTGAATATGTTTGAACCTTAGCATTTGAACTGTACTATTGGCCGCCTCTGGTAAGGCCATGATGAGTGAGTGATGATGCATGTGTTTCTTCTTTTTCAGGTCATCTTGTCTCGGTGGGAAATAGCTGATGTGTTGTAAAAAATCTAAACTATTTAATTTTCTTTATGAGCATCTGTAATTTATGCTTTAAAGTTGAAATTGTTGAGGTTTACTCTTCTTATTTGTATCATAAATGTATTATTGCATTCAGTTTGTGTTATAATTCCCATAAGTTAATTCACTGTGTTCTGTAAATTTTTCTTCTATCAAAATAAACTAAATAGGGACTAACAATCTATCTTGTTAATGTCAAATTCATTAATAATTACTTTATTAATCAACTTCATCTACATAACAAAAATTTTCTGTTACCCAAAATTTCGACACATTGTCTTTATACACTTAATATTTTTTTTTTTTTTTTTAACTATCAGCCGTCTCCCACCGAGGCAGGGTGAACCAAAAAAGAAAGAAAATCCCCAAAAAGAAAATACTTTCATCATATTCAACACTTTCACCACACTCACACATTATCACTGCTTTTGCAGAGGTGCTCAGAATACAACAGTTTAGAAGCATATACGTATAAAGATACACAACATATCCCTCCAAACTGCCAATAATCCCAAACCCCTCCTTTAAAGTGCAGGCATTGTACTTCCCATTTCCAGGACTCAAGTTCGACTATATGAAAATAACCGTTTCCCTGAAAACCCATCACTAAATATTACCCTGCTTTACACTCCAACAGATCGTCAGGTCCCCAAATATCATTCGTCTCCATTCACTCCTATCTAACACGCTCATGCACGCTTGCTGGAAGTCCAAGCCCCTTGCCCACGAAAAACCCCCTTTACCCCCTCTTTCCAACCCTTTCGAGGAAGGACCCCTACCCCTCCTTCCTTCCCCTATAATTTTTTATGCTTTCCATGTCATTCTACTTTGATCCATTCTCTCTAAATACCAAACCACCCCAACAACCCCTCTTCTGCCCTCTGACTAATACTTTTATTAACTCCACACCTTTTCCTGATTTCCACAAATCCGAATTTTCTGCATAATATTTACACCACACATTGCCCTTAAACAGGACATCTCCACTGCCCCCAACCGTCTCCCCGCTGCTGCATTTACCCCCCAAGCTTCACATTTCCAATAAGAGTGTTGGTACTACTATACTTTCATACATTCCCTTCTTTGCCTCCATAGATAACGTTTTTTGACTCCACATATTTCCTCAACGCACCATCGCCTTTTTTCCCTCGTCATTTCTATGATTAACCTCATCCTTCATAAATCCATCCGCCGACATGTCAACTCCAAGTATCTGAAACATTCACTTCTTCCATACTCCTCTCCCCAATTTGATATCCAATTTTTCTTGATCTAAATCATTTGATACCCTCATCACCTTACTCTTTTCTATGTTCACTTTCAACTTTCTCCCTTTTACACACATTCTCAAACTCATCCACTAACCTTTGCAATTTTTCTTTTAGAATCTCCCATAAGCACAGTATCATCAGCAAAAAGTAACTGTGTCAATTCCCATTTTGAGTTTGATTCCCCATAATTTAATCCCACCCCCTCTCCTGAACACCCTAGCATTTACTTCTTTTACAACCCCATCTAAAATAAAAATTAACAACCATGGTGACATTACACATCCCTGTCAAAGACCTACTTTTTACCGGGAAGTTTTCCCCCTCTCTTCTACAACACCCTAACCTGGGGCCTCACTATCCTCATAAAAGCTTTTTAAACAGCATTTAGTAATTTTACCACCTATTCCAAAATACTTGCAACATCTGCCACATTGCTCCTCTATCCACTCTATCATATGCCTTTTCTACACATCCTCTACCACTCCGAAGCCCCGCTCATCCGCAATCCAAACATTCGTCTTCCCTCAAATTTCTTTCAATTATAACCCTACCGTATGCTTTTCCTGGTATACTCAGTAAACTTATTCTCTATAATTTTTACAATCTCTTTTGTCCCCTTTCCCTTTATATAAAGGGACTATACATGCTCTCTCCCAGTCCCTAGGTACCTTCCCCTCTTTCATACATTTATTAAACAAGAGTGCCAACCCCTCCACCACTATATCTCCCCCTGCTTTTAACATTTCTGTCATGATCCCATCAGTTCCAGCTGCTTTAACCCCCTTTCATTCTACGTAATGCCTCATGAAACCTCCACCACCTTACATTTCTGCTCTTCTTCACTCCTAAAAGATGGTATACCTCCCTGCCATGCATGAAATTACCGCCCCCCTTTCTTCCTCAACATTTAAAATTTCCTCAAAATATTCTCGCCATCTACCTAATACCTCCCTCCCCCCATCCTACTAACTCCCCTACTCTGTTTTTAACTGACAAATCCATACTTTCCCTAGGCTTCTTAATTTGTTAACTCACTCCAAAATTTTTTCTTATTTTCATTAAAAATTTCTTGACAGTGCCTCTCCCACTCAAATCATCTGCTCTCCTTTTGCACTCTCTCACCACTCTCTTCACCTTCTTTTACTCTCCATATACTCTGCTTCTTATAACACTTCTGCTTTGTAAAAACCTCTCATAAGCTACCTTTTTCTCTTTTATCAACCTTTACTTCATCATTCCACCAATCACTCCTCTTTCTTCCTGCCCCCATCCTCCTATAACCACAAACTTCGCCCACATTCTAATACTTCATTTTTAAATCTATTCCAACCCTCTTCAACCCCCCCCCCCCCCACTACTCATCTTTGCACTAGCCCACCTTTCTGCCAATAGTCGTTTATATCTCGCCCGAACCTCCTCCTCCGTTAGTTTACCCTTTCCCCTCCCTCTTACTTGTTGTTGCCACCTTCTTTTCCCATTACCTCTTACTCTGACTGTAGCTACAACTAAATAATGATCCGATATATCAGTTGCCCTCTATAAACATGTACATCCTGGGGGCCTACCCATCAACCTTTTATCCACCATACATAATCTAACAAACTACTTTCATTACGTGCTACATCATACCTTGTATATTTTATTTATCCCTCTTTTTCATAAAATATGTATTACTTATTATCAAATTTCTTTCTACACATAGCTCAATTAACATTTACCCCTATCACCCCAAATTTACCTACTACTCCCTCCGTAACATTATTACCCACTTTAGCATTGAAATCCCCAACCACCATTACTCTCACACTTGATCAAAACTCCCACGCATTCACTCAACATTTCCCAGAATCTCTCTCTCTCCTCTACACTTCTCTCTCTCCAGGTGCATACACGCTTACTATAACCCACTTTTCACATCCAATCTTTATTTTACTCCACATAATCCTTGAATTTATGCATTTTTAGTCCCTCTTTTCCTGCCATAGCTTATCCTTCAACATTATTGCTACTCCTTCTTTAGCTCTAACTCTATTTGAAACCCCTGACCTAATCCCATTTAATTCCTCTCCATTGAAACTCTCCCACCCCCTTCAGCTTTGTTTCACTTAAAGCCTGACATCCAGTTTTCTTCTCATTTTTTAACATCCACAATCATCTCTTTCTTATCATTTTCACAACATCCACGCACATTCAAACTTCCCACTCTGACAATTTTCTTCTTCCCTTATTCCCTTTTTTTGTAATCTTTACAGAAAAAAGGGGGTTAAATAGCCCATTGTTCCCGGCATTTTTGTTGACTTTTACAACACGCATGGCTTTCGGAGGAAAGATTCTTATTCCACTTCCCCATGGATATAAAAGAAAAGTAATAAGACCAAGAACTATTAAGATAAAAAACAAAGAAAACTCAGATGAGTGTGTATAAATAAATGTGTAATGTATGTGTGTGTGACCTAAGTGTAAGTAGAAGTACAAGACATGTCTGTAATCTTTCATATTTATGAGACAGGGCAAAAGACACCAGCAATCCTACCATCATGTAAAACAAATTACAGCCTTTCGTTTTACACTCACTAGGCAGGACAGTAATACCTCCCTGGGTGGTTGCTGTCTACCAACCTACTACTAATATATTCTACTAATATATATACTACTAATATATGTGTAAAAGTATTTTTTCATATCTCACTGACATTGTTTCATTTTTCATGAATATTATTAATGGGACCATCCCTGTTAAAATTGCCTATATATTCTGGCTTCCCCCCTTCTGTTTTATTGTAACTTTGTAAATGGTCCATTTGGACTGAAATATCATCATAAGCTTCTCTCTCCTAAGTGCAGTTATTTGTGTATTATTATTATTATTATTATTATTATTAATGTTATTAATACGAACTTCCTAAATGTGTAATAGCCATAGTTCTGATGAGTACATTACACATTATTATTGCTATTGTTTTTTTAACACTGTCCATCTCCCACTGAGGTAGGATGACCCAAAAAAAAAAAAGAAACATTTTCACCATCATTCACTCCATCACTGTCTTGTCAGTACTCCTTATATTATATCTCATATACTTATTTATCCTCTTTTTCTTAAAATATATATTTCCTGTTACCAAAGCTCTTTCTATAGAAAGTTCTATCAAAGGCCCCCATGTAAAGCATTTAGAAAATTGTTTAATAAGGGAAGGTTTTATCATAAGGTAGTATTCACATTTAACATTAAGAAAATACAAAATTTTTTGAAGTGTGTAGAGGATATTAAATTAACTTACAAGTTTGAGCACTGGAACTTGAGATTACTAGAATAAAAGTTTATGTTGTTCTTGCCACAGGTCACCAAATTATCTCCACTTTGCAACAAAGAGACAACATAGCAGTATTGGGAGTTGCAAAAAGTATCTTTCATCCCTCTGCATCCTGTTTAAGGTCTACTCTTGTATCTGCTACACATGATGTTAAGGAAAGCATCAGGGAATTCGTGGACTACATGGAAATAGAAAATGGTAAGGACAATATAATGTTATGTTTTTATAAAGTAATCTATCTTCACATTGTTGATTATATTTAAAGTTTATTTAATCACAAAGTTATATACACATCAAGTGCAGAAAAGATGAATGAAATGAAGAAACTACTGAATAGTACTGGAATGGCAATTTGTAAAATTAAAAGCAGTTTGAGAAACTGCAGTCACTTAGTAATGCTAACGAGCGCAATGATACCCAATATTTCCTGGGCACACTCTTGCTTGGGTATTGCTTCTTTCTCACTCTGGTTGACTTGTGTTCACATGCACCTGCCCAGTTCTATGGCTGGGTTGTAACAGTATTACATTTTTGGAGGGTGTAGATTCTATCCTCTATCCTTCTATCCTTTCACACATTAACATTTCTTTTATTCCTCATATAAAGTTATAAAGGAACATGGCAGAGTAGATAAAGAGGATTTCTTTGTACATTCTTCTGGGGTAACAGTAAGCCACAGTTTTAAATTAAGGAAAAGTGGAACCCAAGGAATAATAGAAAATTTTTCTTTGCCAACAGAATGGTTGATTAATGGAATGACTTAAATGATAAGATACTAAGTGCTACAACTACTGGATATTTTTTGTAACACTGGCCATAGGGTGTTCAACAAAGAAGAAGAAAATACTTTCACTGTCACTCATTACAACTCATGTGCCCTTCCAAACAGCAACATTCCCACCCCTCTTTAGAGTGCTGGCTCTGTACTTACCACCTCCACCTCTCCCTTGGAGTGCTGGCACTGTACTTACCACCTCCAGAATTCAAATCCAGCTAACCAGTTTCCTTGAATTCCTTCATAAATGTTACCTTGCTCACACTCTAATAGCATGCCAAATCTTAAAACTATGTGCCTCCACTCACTCCTAACATACACAAGCCTGTTGAAAAGTTTACTAAAAATAGGACACCACAAGCAATGCTCTGCTTCTTTAGCTACAACTAGGAATTACAAATAGTCAATTGTAGTGTGTGTCTTTACAGTGCAGACATTTCAGCCTCTTACATACTATAGTTGGCTCCATGGCACCTCACCTCCATATGGACTTTTCTAGCCTTGTATATATAAATTTAACCACCTTGTTGGTTTCCAATACACTGGCAAGATGCCATTGTCTAGACTCTGGATATCAACAACTTTTCAAACACAATTAAGGGCAGGTCAGCTGTTTGCTCAGTAAACTTCAGTGATAAAATGGTTATAGATTGGTAGACAACAGCCATCCATTATAATCTTGCATTATCATCTTTTTATACTGATAATAATAATAATAATAGTAATAATAATTATAGGTAGTAGGTTGGTAGACAGCAATTGCCTAGGGAGGTACTACCGTCCTGCCAAGTGAGTGTAAAACAAAAGCCTGTAATTGTTTTACATGATGGTAGGATGACTCATGAAATCATAATGACGCGATTGCAAACAAACCATACCACAGGGAACAGAACAGAATTCTTCCTCCGTAAGCCATGCGTGTCGTAAGAGGCGACTAAAATGCCGGGAGCAAGGGGCTAGTAACCCCTTCTCCTGTATATATTACTAAATTCGAAAGGAGAAACTTTCGTTTTTCCTTTTGGACCACCCCACCTCGGTGGGATATGGCTGGTACGTTGAAAGAAAGAATAATAATAATAATAATAAAATCTTTATTTCTACAAGTACATGTACAAAGTATACAGACCTAGCTGACATCAGTGACATACTACTATATAAAAGCTGCTTGTTATGCAGAGCATTTTGGGCAAATTAGGTCAGTTTTGTCCCAGGATGCGACCCACACCAGTCCACTAACTCCCAGGTACCCATTTTACTGATGGGGAACATAGACAACCAGTGTAAAGAAACATACCCAGTGGTTTGAGATGAGGCTGTGAGGGTGACATTTCCTCTAACTATTAACACATAACAGAAGAACAGATGTACACTGTGACAGTACTGCAAACTATTGTAAAAAATAAAAAAAATAAAAAATAATCATGTTAAAACTATAGAATACCAACATAACACTTCTTATTGTAAGTGAAATATTAGTTTAAAACTTGGCTGGTTGAGGTAGTAATTAATGATCACTGTTTAATTATAAAGTGAAATTTAACAAAAATGCAAAGGCAGCATTACCGGTGTAGAGCTGCCAACCAGGAAGCCTGCCCTGATGAGGAGCCAGGCACCACAGGGTTCATATGAGTAAGTTTTTTTTATTATTAACACATCAGCCATTTCCCATGAAAGCAGGGTGGCCCAAAAAAGAAAAAACTTTCATCATCATTTACTCCATCACTGTCTTGCCAGAGGCATGCTTACACTACATTTATAAAACTGCAACATTAACACCTCTCCCATCTCCAGGAATCGAATCCGGCCTGCCGGATTCCCTGAATCCCTTCATAAATGTTACCTTCCTTACACTCCAACAGCACGTCAAGTCCTAAAAACCATTTGTCTCCATTCGCTCCTATCTAACATGCTCACACACGCTTGCTAGAAGTCCAAGCCCCTCACACACAAAACCTCCTTTACCCCCTCCCTCCAACTTTTCCTAGGCCGACACCCACCCCACCTTCCCTCATTACAGATTTATACACTCTCGAAGTCATTCTATTTCATTCCATCCTCTCTACATGTCCAGACCATCTCAGTAACTCCTCAGCCCTCTGGATAATAGTTTTAGTAATCCCACACTTCCTCCTAATCTCCAAACTATGGATTCTCTATATTATATTCACACCACACATTGCCCTCAGACATGACATCTCCACTGCCTCCAGCCTTCTCCTTGTTGCAACATTCACAACCCTTGTCTCACACCCATACAAGAGCATTGGTATAACTATACTCTCATACATTCCCCTCTTTGTTTTTTATGGATAAAGTTCTTTGTCTCCACAGACTCCTCAGTGCACCACTCACCTTTTTTCCCTCATCAGTTCTATGATTCACCTCATCCTTCATAGACTCATCTGTTGACACGTCCACTCCCAGATATCTGCACACATTCACCTCCTCCATACTCTGTCCCTCCAATCTGATATCCAATCTTCTGTTACCTAATTTTTTTGTTATCCTCATCCCTTACTCTTTCCTATATTCACTTTTAATTTCCTTCTTTTACATATCCTACCAAACTCATCAACCAACCTTTGCAACTTCTCTTCAGAATCTCCCAAAAGCACAGTATCATCAGCAGGAGCAACTCTGACAACTCCCACTTTTCTTTTAACCCCACACCTTTTTACCAACACCTGAGCATTCACTTCTTTTACAACTCCATCTATAAATATATTGAACAACCATGGTGGCATCACACATCCCTGTCTAAGGCTTGCTTTTTCTGGGAAATAATCTCCCTCTTGCCTACATACTCTAACCTGAGCCTCACTATCCTCATTAAAACTTTTCACCGCTTTCAATAACCTATCTCCTATTTCATACATTTGCAACATCTGCCACATACCCCCCTATCCATCCTATTTTAGTTTGCCTGTCAGTGTGACCCTTCTTAGGAATATAATGTTATTGAAAAAGCTACAAAGAAAAGAAATATTGCTGGAACAAAATAGACACTAGATATTTTACTGCCAAGGTCCCTCATCAGCCAGGTTATGATAACTATGTGGGGTTGTAGGCTGCTGGTAGCAGTAGCCTGATTAATCAGGCATTTACCTAGGGGGAAGATCTGGCTGCATACTAAGTTGTGCTAGTAGAAAACTCTGAAAATGGTCACAGGTAAATCAGTACAATAATATTTCCATGGGCAACTAAGGTCAATTTGCCAACAGTTTCAATTGCATTTATATATGATCCTCTGTTATACCTCTTACTCCAGAGAAGCTTCCTACAAACATGTGCCAAAAAGTTTCACCTGCAGATCAAGTGAAGCATTTCAGCAATAAGGATACCCAAGTGTTGCATCTTTGTCTTATTCATCAGCCTGTAGGTACTGTATACCATTAATGTATGTATTATAAGTACATACAGTGGAGCCTTAGCTTACGAATTTAATCCGTTCCGTGACCTTGTTCGTATCCCGATTTGTTTGTATGCTGAGTCAATTTTCCTCATTTAAATTAATTGAAATGGCAATAATCCATTCCAGCGGAATTCCTGCTCTTAGAAGGCACGACAAAATACAGTGGACCCTCACCTAACAATATTAATTGGTACCCGAGAACGAATATCGTTAGGCAAGTTTTTTAGCATTAGCCGAGGCAAAATGTTAGCGTTAAAATGTATCGTTAGGCGAATTTAACATTATGCGATGCGTTTGTTAGACGAGGATCCACTGTACTTCAGTATGATGCTAATGTCAACTCTACAACTTATTTATATATCACAAGTCATCTAATTTCACCATCACTCAAGGAATGCACAACAGGTGCAGCATTGTCAGTGTTAAGCATTTCTTCAATGTTAGCTTCCTGTAACTCCATTAGCACACAGTCAAGATGAGTAAATAGAATTGTCAACGCTTATTGCTTGGGAACGTTTATTCTGTTAGTGGGTTGGATCTGTAAAGGACTTGCCTAGTATGGGCCAACAGGCCTACTGCAGTGTTCCTCCTTTCTAATGTTATTATGTACCCACGACACCAATCATACCCATCCCCTCCCACTCATATATTTGTCCAATCTCTTTTTAAAGCTACCCAAGGTTCTATCGAAGCTGAAACCTTGGGTAGTTTCAAATTTAGGTTGGATAAATACATGAGTGAGAGGGGTTGGATTTGAGTGGGACTTGCATATGAGTAAATAGGATTATTAAAGCTTATTGCTTGGGTAACATTTATTTTATTAGTAGGCTGGATTTGTGAACGGCCTGCCAAGTATGGGCCAACAGGCCTGCTGGAGTGTTCCTCCTTTCTTATGTTATGTTGATGAGTGGAGCAATCTGCCTAGTATGGTTATTGAGGCTGAAACCTTGGGTAGTTTTAATTTTGTGTTGGATAAATACATGAGTGAGAGGGGTTGGATGTGAGTGGGACTTGCACGTGAGTAAATAGAATTTTTTTTTTTT